CTTTCTGAGCGTGCCAGGGATCATCAATCTTCTATGGAGCATCTGGACAATGCAGTAAAATACCGAACATTCGGAAATGTTAATATTGCAGCACAGTTGGATGAAGGACGCGCGGTTTCTATTCGTCGGCACAACCAAAACGTCGAGAAAAACCGCCATGTTCTCGGTCGATTGATAGATGTTTTGAAGTTCATGGGTTGCCACGAGCTGTCCCTCCGTGGGCACGATGAACGGGCTGGCTCTTCTAATAGAGGGGTATTTTTGGATATGGTGGAATACACCGCATCCCTAGATACAGTATTGAAAGATCATCTTGATGCCGCAACTGTTTCGAAAGGGACATCTAAGGATATCCAAAATGATTTGCTCGACTCAATGTATAAAATTTATTTACAACATTTGGCTTTGGAAATTGAGAATTGCCAGTTCCTTTCGATTCAGTCTGACGAGACAACTGACATAACGTGCGTTTCCCAACTGGCTGTGATTTTTCTGTTTGTGAAAGATGGTAAACCTACCGAGAGATTTCACAGCTTTGTACCAATCGTTGATCGCACGGCTTGCGGGATATCGGCTGTACCGAAAGAAGTGTTACAGCCTTACAACGCGAAGTCAAAATTGATAGCTCAAACTTATGACGGCGCGGCAGTCATGAGTGGGTCGAAACATGGTGTTCAAGTTTATATAAAAGAAGATTTTCCTCATGCGCATTTTTTACATTGTTATGCACACCAATTTAACCTCGTTATTAAAAATATGTGTCTTGATACCCCTCTCGTCCGTATATTTTTTGCAAATGTTTCGGGGTTTTCTTCATTTTTTTCCGTTTCGCCGAAGCGCTCTGACCTCCTTCGCCAGATATGTAGCCGCCGTCTCCCAGCTTGTGCACCAACACGTTGGAACTTCCAATCACGCGTGGTGCAGGGCGTGTCCGAAATTGGGTCTGAGCTCATTGAGTGTTTCAATGGCATTCAGAGCTCTCCGGTTTGGGACGAACGCACTGTGAGGGAGGCGGCAGGACTAAAGCGTCTGCTAGAAGATGGTGAGTTTTCATTTTTCTCCACAATATTCTATCACGTGGATGTATTATACGGCGCATTGCAGTCAAGGCTAATGGATGGAGCGTCTGTGCAGTCGTGTATTTCAGACTTCTGCAATGCTGTCTCTCGTATCCGGGAAACAATAAAATACGACGACACATGGAGTGCTTCTTTACGCCGCGGGCAAACAACGCAGCGTTTGATTTTGTCTGCAAAGGAATGCTGTGACATTCTGGTGAATCAAATAGGCGATCGTCTGCGCACTGAACACCTTGCCGCGTTCTCTTTGATGAACCCCAAATATATTTCAAAATTTGCACGTCAATTTCCCATCCATTTGTTGGCTACTGTCTCCAAATTTTACCCCATGATAAACGTGGGTAAATTGGAAAATGAATTGCGATGTATATACACCAATCAATTATTTTTGAACATCACATCAACTTGCGCGCTCTATGGGTTCCTCATAGATAACACTCTAGTAACTACCTTTGCGGCGTCTGCAAAATTTCTGGACATCATTTTGACGACGCCTATTTCTTCCGCCGACGCAGAGCGAACATTCAGAACGCTGAAGCGTATTAAAACGTATCTCAAAAACACAATGAAGCAAGATAGATTAAATTCCTTGGCTGTTTTATCCAATCACATAGACGTTATTTCTGGGATGCATGTCTTTAATCAGCGCGTTATTGAGCATTTTGCTTCCAAGAAACCGCGGCGTGTTGCATATATGTTCAAGCAGTAGAAGTCTAGCAGCATATATATCTATGAGTGAGCGACGCATGTCCTTATCTTTGCATTACCTTTCCTTTCTTCATAGTAACGTTTTAAACCTTATTTTAGTTAATATGTCATTGTATTTATCTGGGTAAATATTGTCTTTCCTTTTGAAAGAGGTTTCAAAATAAACTATGTCTATATTTATTAATCCCTTGACCGGTTTTAAAGACACTTTCTTATCGTTAAAAATTGTTGCTTTTGCCGATTGGTTGTTACCGATGGAATGGTTTTTATACTCATAAAATGATGGGAGAACTTACAGCGCTTATCCTGTCCCCGTAGATGGGGGTGACTTGGTCCCGCAGTAGCTTGCCCCGGTTGTCAAAATGACCACGCGCCGCCACTGGCAACAGCTGCTTCCTCTTCAACCGCAAATTTAAACGACACTCAGCGGGCTTGAGGTCCTCAGTGTCCGCTGAATTATTACTTGATGACGGACCAACGAACCAGAATATAGACCTGAATATTTGTTCTTTGCAATATGACAATAGTTGGCATGCGAAGGTACTTGTAAACAATCAACCGTTCAATTTTCTTGTAGATAGTGGTGCTATGACTACTCTGATCGACATTTCAATCTTTGACGCTATAGGTGGGAAGGAAGCACAATTGGCACCGAATCTCTTTTTGCAGTGGGTGGACATGATTTATCACCACTGGATACATTGGAAGTTGATTTGTCTATTGATTCTTTTGCATCACGACGCACTGTTGTTGTTGCCAACCAAGGTATGTCTAATGGTATTTTGGGCATGGACTATCTCCGAGAACATAATTGCGTTCTTTACTTATCATCTGGACACATTATGATAGAGGGTCATGAAATCAAACTGTTTACTGAAAAGTCTGTACCGTGTTGTCGTGTAACTGTTCGAGAAGATATTATTATACCGCCATATTCTAAGGTTGTCATCCCTGCACAACTTAGTCGTCCTTGGCCGAAACGCATTGTGTCTGATATTGCAGCTCTTGTTGAACCGCTGAATTCTTCTTTCCTTGCTGATGGCGTTCAGCTGCTTTCTTCTGTGGTGGACCCTGGAAAGTCCACTGTTCCGGTTTTTGTTATCAACCAGAAAGGCAGACAACTTAAGATCAGGGCTGGATCTTTGCTTGGTATTGCACATCCTCAACTTATAGCACAAATTCAAGTTGACGAATCCGATAATCGGGTTATAGCTTATGAATTACCAGAACATCTGCATGACATGGTCAATTCCGTTGAGGATCTAACCCCGAGTCAACGTGAACAGTTGGTCAATTTGATTTGTGAATTTCATGATGTATTCATAGGACCAGATGTTGAACTTGACCGTACTTCAGCAGCAAAGCATAGGATCATCACAACAACACCACAGCCGATTCGGTAGGCTCTTCGTTGAATGGGGTGGGCGCGTAGGAAGATGGCCGAAGAAGCGGTTGACAATATGCTGGCTCAGGGTGTCAGTGAACCCAGTGATTCCCCATATTCTTTTCCCATTGTCTTAGTTCCTAAGAAAGATGGTTCTACCAGATTTTGCGTGGATTTTAGATTGTTCAATGACGTCACCTACAAATATGCATATCCCTTGCCGCGTATTGAGGATAACATTGAGTCGCACAATGGTTCTCAATTCTTGACCTCGCAAGCGGGTATTGGCCAGTGGAGGTTGACCCTGCAGACCGCGAAAAGACAGCATTCATCATCCCAGGCCGTGGAAATTTTCACCGGTTTAGCGAATGCTCCAGCGACATTCGAACGGATGATGTACAACATCCTTGGTGATCTCCTGTGGAACGGGTGTTTCAATTTTCTTGATGATGTTTTGGCTCATGGTAGTGATTTCTCATTGGCACTCTCCAATCTTCGGAAAGTTTTTATAAGACTTCGCCGTGCCGGTTTGCGTTTGAAACCCTCGGAATGTAAACTTTTCCGTCGGAGCAACTTTTCTCTCGTGGCCATCTTATTTCATCTGAAGGTGTCTGTTGCGAACCCGGAAATGTTGCGGCTATCAAGAAATGGAAAACGCCAAATTCTGTCAGCGATATTCGTAGTTTTCTAGGCACAGCGAACTACTACCGGAAGTTTGTTCAAGATTATTCAACAATTGCTGGACCTCTTATTCGATTGACCAGGAAGAATATTTCTTTTGTATGGAGTACTGAATGTCAAAAAGCTTTTGAAACTCTTAAACACTGTCTGACGTCAGCCCCAATTCTTAGCTTTCCTAGAACAATCGGCGAATTTGTATTGGATATGTATGGGCTGTTCGTCACTTCAGTCGTTTTCTCCTCGGGAGACCGTTCAGAATTCGCACAGATCATGCTGCTCTGAAATGGTTGATCAATTTTCGTGAACCTCAAGGAATGTTGGCAAGATAGATATTAACAATTTGCGGTTATGACTTTAAGATTGAACCCAGACCTGGCGTGAAACATGGCAATGCTGACGGATTGTCACGCCAAGTTCGCAAACGCAAGCGAGAAGATTGTTCTAATTGTGGTACCAATGGTGATTTCGATGTGAGTAATGTTATTCTAAGTGCAATATCAAAACAGCCCGGTCAATCATCGTCAGACGGTTCCGATTGTAATTGGCTAGATACCTACACAGATGAGCAAATTAAATCTTGGCAAAGTGAAGATCAAATTTAAGACAGGATTTGTTCCATAAGCTCCATTTTTTGCGCACTGCAGGTCATCTTGGTGCTAATCGAACTTTCAAGAGTATGGACCTTTCCCCGACATATAAACATCCGGATTTCTAACCAATCACAAGCGAGCAGAAATGTAAACAAACATTCACCGCTGAAACTCGCTCAGACAACTTTTGGCGCGCTGGCGGTTGTATGTACGTATGTTTAGGCAAAGTTTTGTCCTCTTTTGTCACTTTTTGTTTTCTTTTCACAGTGCTGTGAGAATTAGAAAGCTGCAATACTATATGTTACTTGTTGCAAATCACGCGCACAAAATTTACCGTATATATGTATACTAAAAGGCTTCCCCTTATGCCGGCAACTTACAACAGGTACCGGTACAGGACAACCAACTAATGCTTTTTCAAACCGAAAAATAGTAGACAGTCATGCTGATGAAATCAAGGGTACGATACCGGTAGCTTACCATATGCCAGTGCGGAAGAATTTGTCACCGATACGATGTTGCATTTCTATTAAACAGAATCTAATATTGGAATATTTTGCTAGACTAAACATGGTCAAACGGTGTGCATACAGTATTTGTGGGTCTGACAACCGGTACTCCCGCCGGACGAATGGAATAAGTTTTGTGCCATTCCCAAAGCCACATATCGACAGAGAAAAGGCAATGAGGTGGATAAAAGCATGCAACAGGCCTCACAGTCAATTTAATCTTGGGAAAATCACCAGGAATACTTACGTATGTACTAAGGTAGGCCAACATATATATATTGTTTTCGATACCTATGATATATTCTACATGTGGATTCCATTTCAGCACTTTCATGGAGGCGATGGGCCGACCGATGAATACCCTGACCCTATATCAGATCTTTGTCGCCCAACAAGAAAGCACCGTCAAACTGTGAGGTAAGGATTACTTATACCATAATTTAACCTTTTGGTAATACATTGTCAAAAACCTGTTTTGTTCGCATAGGCATTTGCATGAGGACATCCAGCCAGCTCCCTCCATAGTGACGAAAGTGAGGAATGAGTATCAGGGATCCAACCAGATATGCCCTCAGACTCTTTAGTTGAAACTACGTCAAGTGCCGCTCATGATAATATTGCTTTGTCAAAAGCAAGTCAGACTGCAGAAAAATGTAAGCAAGTATCATGATTATTTTATTTTGGTCCTCTGGCAGAAAACATCACGAACAAAATGCAGAAAAAAATGGAAGGCAAGCATAAATTAAAAGTTATAATAGAGTTAAAAAACGTACAAGTAACAACCCATCTGAAATAGTAAGCACACAAAAGAATTAACAAGATTCAGAATCGCACAATACTTTTAATGCATTTCAAAATGAGTTAACACATACTTCTAGCATTGGTGTCATATTTGCCTAACTGTGTAAAAAGGATGAATAAAAAAAAATTAATACTGAAGTCTTCATGCAGAATCTTTTACAATCCATTGGTGATAGAATGATGTTACTTTAATGAGGACGCTTTGCATGCATGCCATGTCTGGTGTGACCCTGGTGGTTGCAATATCATTTTTTGTGTAGATTACAAAGTCACACCAAGGTGCTCCCGATATCAGAAGCTGGCCCTGTACTTGGTAGTAACTGTGGTGATCTTTATTAATTTCTATTCCGCTGGGGGTTAGTGTCAGGTAGAAAATTGGAATTGTAGAACATGCTTCAGCAATAGTCATGTTTCTGGCAGAATATGGGCATTTTATTTCGAGGAGACCACACACACCATCATCACAGACCTTCCCATCTGGTGTTGATCCAAGATGTGGAAATTCAGGGTTGATTATGAGGCCGCAAGCATGTACATGAACATTTGTCTTTTTCCTCAGATACTCCTCTCTGGCATGTTTTTCGTTTTTTATCCTATATGATACAGATGCTGAATGAAATGATTTTTGGTTCATTACAGCCCTGAGGAACGAAGGATTGGGTTTTGAAACACGTTTTATAATATTCCCAAATTTGGAAGATGTTATTTTGCCTGATCTTTTTTGATGCCAAATTGCAGACTCTGCTTGCATGTTTGTATTTTTTTCAGTAAATTCTGCCTCCTCTTGACTAATGGTCATTCTCATCTTAAAACAAAGGTATAATGCTATAATTTTTGGGTAGACGCATTTAAATCAACAGAAAACTGGCTTACTTTCAAGTATGAGTAGTTGGGAGGGATTTTAACAGGTGCCAGCTTCGGAAAGGCAGTGTCTCCACAAGCACTCGACCATGTCATTTCCATCGAAGCATTCTGATTACAAACACGGTCTGCCTGAAATGGAACTTTGGAATAATTTTGTATATTTATTTTAAATACAGATGTTTCACCTCTATATTTTCTGTCGATGGCTACATCTATTAGAAATCTGGAGGACAAGGTAGTGGAACAAAAGTCACAATTGGGGAAAGTTTTTAGCGTTCAAAATCTTTGTATCGACCCTAGAAAAAAATTACTCATTTACTACACAGGTCTATCTCCAGATTGCTTCGAAAAATTATTTATAATAGCTTCTAAACACATTAATTTTGATAAAAAGCGAAGAGATATAACAAAAATAAATTTACAAGATCAGCTGCATCTAACCTTGGCAAGACTACGTCTAAATTTGGGATTGAGAGATTTGGCGTCTCGATTTGGGATTTCCATACAGGCAACAAGTGATATCTCCAACACATGGATCACACACTTGTATCAAAAACTTGCTTCATTACCAATTTTTCCGAGTAGAGAAGTAATCATCAAGAATACGCCCCCAAATTTTAGAAAAAAATTTCTCGACCACTCTCATCATCATCGACGGAACAGAAATTAGGACCGAAACCACCTCATCGCTTAAATTAAATTCACAGTACTATTCGAACTATAAGAGCCATGCTACATTAAAAGCAGTTGTAGGATGTGACCCCAGAGGTTCACTGATATTTACCAGTGCTTTATACACAGGGTCAATATCGCACAAAGAATTACCTGTACAATCTGGATTTTATGATCTCCTTAAAAATTTAATTAGTCATGGTTTTGTTAAATCAGTTGACTGTATCATGGCAGATAAAGGTTTTACCATAGCTCAAGAGTTGGAAGAATTAGGCCTACATCTAAATGTACCCCCATTTGCCCGTTCAGCATTCCAAATGAGTGAAGCAGACGCTAACCTAACATCCAAAATAGCCCAGCATAGAGTTCATATTGAAAGGTGCATTAGGCGTATTAAACAATATAAAATTTTATCGCAAACCATACCATGCGTGTTATTTAACAAAATCAATGAAATTTGGACTGTTTGCTGTCTCTTGACATTATTCCAGAGTCCTAATATTAAGTAAATATTATCTTGTAAAAAATTGTGTGATAAATATCCTTGTTTTGCATTTATCACTGTCCTATAAATACAACTTGTTCATAATCACCTGATAACCTAGAACTGAACCAAGTGGTGTTTGCCCATCTGACACAATCGGGCCACTCAAGAGATATGACAATGACGTAGTGCTCAGTGTGCGCAATTCTTCTATGTCACCAGGAGATGAAACCAGGCAGCTTTAATAAAATAACTCATAGTAAAATCATTGTGTCCATGAATGAGATTGTGAAATGAATCTAATTCTTTTATTTTGACGTTCCATTGCTCTTGTGGTTTTTGTTTGCTGTGCCTAAAACATATCTGGTGTGGATTTTGTCCTATACAACACAATAGCTGGCAAATTGTATCATTTGTAGTAATTTTCTAAGATTTACTTGCTTGTTCTTTCGCAATTCAGTTTTTATAATCTGGTTTATTCTATTTCTACACTGAATGAATAAACTACATTGTAAAACTTTCCATATACCTGACTGTTTTTGGTTGAACCGGTATGATCGGAACTCTGCCTCGATCTAACTTTGTGGGCTTAGCAACAACTACTGATGACAAAACTGTTGGATCTATTTTGTTCCCTCTAGGTCAGTGGTTCTTAAAGTATGGGTCGCGGAAGGTTTAAAAATGGGTCGCGACAAGGTCGTCAATGCAAGGGCAATCTAAGAGGAGAAGGAAGAATTTTCAGCTTTCCCAATGTTTCAATTTAGCTTCTAAACTCTGTTATTTAAAAATAATGAAATATAAAATTTCATTCACGGAAAGAACTGTCTTGAGCTCATTGTTACATCACAATTCTGATATGCCAGTTACGTGTATTATTTTTATGGTATCGGTAACCATGCACGTCGCTTGTCGTTGTGTTGACTGCGTGGAATGTCGTCTTAGTGGATTAAAATAACCAAAAATGGGTGCATTTTTGGTAATATAAATTGTAATAGACGACGCAATGAAAAAGCTCGCTTCTCGACATTAGATTATTCAATATCTAGAGAAAATGTGACTTCATCTCGAGGCACCATTTACCGCAAACGAAGCAGTGTGTGAACATTTGATGAGTAAAAAGTTGTATATTGCGAGAGATACCGAAGGCCAGCTAGTGTCTGTGTGAATGCCTCTGGTCTTCAGGGATGTTTGTCTGTGTTGTGTGACTGTCGGATGTTTTGTGCTGGACAGTGGGCTGACGTAGGGACCATGTTATTGATTTTACCAGTACAGTGCCATTACAGTTCATTTACCGTAGTGTTGTATTTTCAGTTTTATCGTGGAATTAGCTTTCATCAGTATTGTTCAAATGTTGTGCACCTATAGAATTGTTCATAGTCTTTTTAAATGCCTGTCATAAGTTACTTTCGGCCTGTTTTGCAAATTGCAGTAGCTAGTTTATGGTACCAGATTCTAGGGGTCATTTGGTTTTTATTCAGAGTTGTCTTGGATTTCAGGGTTTGTCAGTGTTTGTGTTGTGTATGTGGTTTTTCTTGCATTTTACTGCCTGGTATCTGTTATTTTTATTTTATGATTTTCGTTCCTTTGTGAGTGTTTGGTTGTTTTGGATCTTTTACTGTTCGAGTTGTTAATAAATGACACAAAATAGCATAAAGACTTGGAGCACGCCAGAATATTTTCATGAACTATGATTTTGTTTCTCTTACCTCGACTAATGGATGATATGTCAAGGCTCTGGTCAATAACGTGCCTGTTTTGTTTTTGATTGATACCGGCGCGGGTGTCTGGCTCATCGACACCGCTGTTTACTCGACGTTGCAGGAAGATTCGAACATTTCGGGGCTGCATCCTGTTCCAGTGCCACTCTGTACTGCCGGTTGCGAGTCATTGGTGTCTCATGCACTACGTTTACATGTACACGATAATCGTTTCGGCAAAAAACGTTCCCAAATCGTATTTCGGACAATCGAACGCCATAATTTGTCTCGAGTTTACATGGACACCATTGAATTTCGATCCGGTTAAAAATATCCCGCGCGTTCAGACTATCGTATTTGACATGAGATTTCGTTACCAGTTTTACGTTTTACTCCTTTTGAATTCCTCGGAACAAACCGGATACAACTTTATAATTTTTATATATGTAAACATTTAACCAAGATATTGAAGGTTTTAAGTAGTCATCTTCATAACTTTAAATGCTATTTTTTAAGAAAAACATAAAAACGTTATATTTTATTTTGGTAAGTTGTTAATGTTCTTAATCTGGCATACCACTTCAGGTATCTACTTCTGCACCACGTTCCTTGAAACACCGGTAACTGCTTACAGCATAGGGCGTTGAATTTGTATTTAAAATTCTATGCAGACATTCATTGAAAAGCAATTGTTACGGTAACGTTTCTGCACTTCATAGTTAATAATTATACAAGAAAGTACTGTAAATGGTTATTTGCTACTGAATGGAACAAAAAAGAAGAACATGGATTTGTCTCAGGTGAAGGATTTAAAATATTTATTTTTTGATGTTTATCGGATGAGTTTATGATATTTATTCAAAATACCAAAAGGATACTTGATGTTTTTATGATTTCGCTACTGCATATACCGTGTATTCTATAACAGTATAAGGCATTTTCGTGGTGGACGAATCATCATCCATAAGATCTTGCCATGGAGGTGATATGTTTGCTCACAGCAGCAGGAGATATTGACCATCATCATATTGTTATTTTCAGGTTCTGCCCACTTTGATTACGATTCGAATGATGCAATTAATAATGCTGTTTCTGATGAATGAAAGATTTAAGCTATGTCAGGTTATGCTGAGGCGTAGCCGGCTCAATTTTTTGAAAAAAGTTTATTGTATTTGTACACCTACGAAGAAAAGACGTCGAAAGCGAAGATTTTGGAAAAAGACACGAACTTCAGAATGGTGGGATAGAATCGTAAATCAGCATTTTGGCAATGAAGATTGGATAGAAAATTTCCGGGTAAATTTACAGATTACTCTTTTAAGACTTTTTAAGGAAATTTTATATGTACTTAATTTTATCAAATCCAAGTTATAAATGAACTGATGTGAATTTTTTAAAATAAGAAAATTTTGTTTTTAAGGTATCCTGGAGTACATTTCAATACATTGTGGAACGAGTCAGACCCTATATGTCACCAAAACAGAACTGGGTTAGACCGCCTTTGCCAGTGGAAAAAAGGGTTGCTGTGGCTTTATACAAACTCGCTAGTTGCTGTGAATACAGGGTGGTTGCAAATATATTCGGGATTGCAAAATGCACAGTGCATGCCTGTGTTTATCAATTTTGCAGGTAGTTCTTGGCTTTCAATATTTAGCAAGTCATTGGTTATGTAACTACTCATTTTTAAAATTTTCATGCCAGGGTTTTCACCGATTATATTGCAAAACAACATATCGCCTTTCCATCAGATATTGAAGCTATTGAAATCAGTGAACGAATTTTCAAAGTCCACAGTTTTTCCGCATGTATATGGGGCGATTGATGGAACTCACATTCCTATTTTACCGCCAAAGACAGGTTATAGAGATTTTACCAATCGCAAAGGATGGCCATCTATAATATTACAGGCTGTTGTAGATGATAGATGCATGTAAGTAAGAGAGATATAGAGTTAAGTGAGGTATTCTTTACAGAAAGCAGGCTTAATATGAAAAACACCCAAGCAGCTAAAAATCCTGATGATTAGTTGTAATGTCAGTTTCTAGAAGTTCATCGTTAGAGTATAAACTAAACTGATGCAAATGCATATTTAATTATTTAAAGTTATTTTCAATCAGATTCAGAGATATATATTGTTCAATGCCAGGAAGTGTGCATGATGCAACAGTACTGAAAAATTCTTCGCTGTACAAGCTTGCTGTGGCAGGAAGTCTTCCTTCGGTAACAAGCACGTTGTATTCATTTCAAAAGGGTCACAACAGTAGTTATAATATTTTTTTACAGACCATAAAGCGAATTCAAAATTGTGACGTCCCGCTGATGATACTAGGCGATCCAGCATACCCTTTGCAAACATGGCTCATGAAAGGTTACTCTGGAAGTTTAAATCCATCTGAAGAGTCTTTTAATGTGTATCTTTCATCTGCACGCAATGTGGTGGAACATGCATTTGGACGACTCAAAAGCAGGTAAAGACCTATTACAACTAATTCAATGAAAGGACAAGCACTATTGAAAGGAAATCTATTAATTAATATTATATTCAGATGGGGATGTCTATCTAAAAGATGCGACATTAGCTACAAGTTTATGCCGAAGGTTGTCGCAACATGCTGTGTGCTGCACAATATATGTGAGAAAAGGAAAGATGTATTTCTAGGAAGATGGTCAAATGAAACTTATGTTGCCCAACCACAGCCGGAACGTAGATCAGCGGCCAGCAATTGCAGTGAAGCAGTACAAAATAGGGAGGCATTGAGAACCTTTTTGGAGGAAAATTTTCCTTTGAGAAAAAGTTCATTGTAGTTACTTCCCTATTTGATTCTCAATGAGACTAACAATATTACTTTTTTGAACATTTTTTCACCTGTCAGTTGCAATTAATTCAGCAGGATTTGTTCACTAATCTTAACGAACTTGCCTTTTACTTTAGATGACTCTGCACATAAGTGGAACATTGTTTTGGTTTTTATATTTATTGTAGCATGCACCAATTTCAATTTGTCATTTTGAGAATAAACGCATTTTCGACACTTGAGTATGGTTGTTGTGGCCCAGTAAACTTGAGATTCATTTGTTGGTGTCTTAAAAGAAATTTTAAACAGATAAAAAGTCTTCGGATTATGTGCGCTCTTTGAAGCAGGAGTGTGTGCAATAGAAACATAACAGAATAGGATTTCCATAACCATATATACAATGGCGATCGTATATGTTCAGTACAATAATAGTTAACACTCGAGTTCAGGCCCCATGATTCAAAACCAGCTAACTCTCATATAGTCAAGGGGTGCGGTATCGACAAGACGAACTTGAAATTCATGCATGTACAAAACTTATGTGCATTTACCTTGAGTTTTCGAAAGCTGTGAAACGCATGCAGAAAATACCGATCCCATCTCTTGCACAGCCTTTCGTAATAATTTGGCATGAGCTTCCATTTGTTCACGCATCATATTTTCTTCCCATATTCGTTGCTTTTCGAAAAGGCTTTCCAAGTCAACAGAATGTCTTTTTCCTGCATAGTGGCATAAGAGAGTTAAGTTTACCCAGCTAGATAAGGCCCAGTTCTTTATCAAAGTTTTACAGATACATGATTGAGTAAGACTTAGTCATTTGGGACCTTTTATACATATTTAAGTATATATATGTTCATACATACCAGAATCTGAATTCTCGCCATAATTAGATGAAATGTCGGTACTGGAAGTTGCCCCTTCTTCAGCACCTGAGCATGACGTTGCCCCTTCTTCACCACCTGAGCATGAAGTTGCCCCTTCTTCAGCACCTAAGCAAAACAATTCAATTAACATTATGTGCATGAAAGAGCATGGTAGATATTAATCTAATTTCTATGTTTATCCACAGACAGAGAAAAGCCAATAAGACGGCGTAATCATATGGCTGGATGTCAGTTCATGTCGGGTATGGGAATGTTGCAGGCACATGGACTTGATAGCGAATGAGAGACCAGTTGATTAATGCGACTATCCTTAGCAGTCAAATATTGAGACAGGTCCACTTTTGGCTAACATGTAGAAATATACGAGTTTATTTCATAGCATTTTAGACTGAACTACTCCAGAAGACATACCTTGATCTTCTGGTGTGCTAAAAAGCATTTCATTCTGTGATTCCTCGATTTCTGAAATAAAAATCATCAGCATGATAGTATGCACATAAATTAGGAAAACATAAATCAAAAATAATAAAGAAAAGTAGTTACCTAGTGACACCGTGTTGGTGATTCCAAAATTGACTCCCATATGGGTATAATCAACTGCTGGACGATGGCCGAAAATTTCATAGAGCTCATCGTAATACTCGCATGTTTTGTGAGCCGCCCCACTGACAGAATTCAGACGTACTATCTTGTTGAAATTGGAACGCAACGCCTTGACTTTATTACGTATTTGTTGGAAACTACAAATGGAAGAACACCTTTCTTCAATTAGCCAAATTAAAAGCTGAAAACAAACTGCTAGTCACTAGAATTGAACATACTTTGTAAATGATGATATTTTGCTAAAAAGCCAACACATTTTTCTGAAATTTGGAATCAATAGGCTGCCACTTAATAACATAACAATGGTGTTCTCAAACCTTTTTTCATATCCTTTTGCTGTCAACTGTTTCTCAACCTCTTTGTACAGAACTTCTGACCTGGACTTCTTTTGGTCAAGCAGACCAACCAAATTCATTTCTTGGACAATGCCAAGCATTGTTTTAATCTCGCTGCCTTCCCACTTAGTTTTAAGAGTAGATGCAGGCTCCATTTTTCTCGTAAACAAAATAATACTAATTCTCTATGGTAACTTTTAACTAAATATAAATCAGTGAACTGAATACGCTACTGTGCTGAGAGTTTGATTTATATGGGCAATAAATTATATAACTCTTTAAAATAAATTTATTTTTTTACCGAGGCAGACAATTTATCCCCAATTGATTTACAACTTACTTTACTACAGTTGACAGTTACTAGTCCAGTGAGAATTACTATATTGCGATATTACATTTCAGCATTTAGTATACAATCAATACACCAACTTAACATCTTGACAATGGCTGAACTGTCGTTAGATTATTCAAAACTGCGGAATAAATCGCACATTTTCCAATGATTTGAATATTGCAAATCCTCGGTATTGTACCAAGGTTTGTTTAATTTTGCAATGTCCAGGTCTTTGTTTCATATAAATGGTAAGTCTATCCGTAGATCATATATATGCCTATTATCTACCAGCATTACAGCACTAGGTAACATTATACATTTATAAGCATATTAAATTCATAATCAGCATACAGCTGTACAGGCATACTGCTGTACTGGCATAGCAGGCAATATATTCGACTGTAAATATGCAATGAAATGATTTATAAAGACAAATAAAAATCTCTTCCTGACGTGGTACTGCACTATACTCATGGTACTTGCGGTTACTCTCAACAACCTACTGTCAGACTGTATACAGTAATTTGCCTAATTACATTATAAGGTGTATTGTGTACTAAACTGAAAGTCCTTTCTCATTGTTCAGTTGTTTACTTTCTATTGCATACCGTACCAGTATCTGTAATGCTTGATTGCGATAGTATTATAAAGATAAATATGAATAACATAATCATGTTATTCATATTTACATTATACGGTCAACTTCCACACTTACCCTGGTACCAGTACTAGAATTCGGCAATTCGCGCACGACACAGTACCGGTAACAAACTGTTGTTCCCTTTGACTTCGACGGATCCAAGACTAACAATTCTGATGGTGGAGAATTTCATCCAGAATCGAAAATTACTTTTAAAAAAAGCCAAAACTTTCTGCCAACGGAAGCGCTGTGGCAGTACCGGTACCGGTATCACACATTTCACGCAGAGCAAGCGAGCAACACTATAGACCTAAACTACACTTGCAAAACCTGTTCGCGCGTGCGAGGAAAGCATCGTGTCAGCTCTAATCTACCCTGTGCAATCGTGTTGGGATATCACGATGCAAACACGCTGAGTCATGATTGGCCATCGAACCAAAGTGTTTACATGAACACGATTCGCTCAAAATACGGTTTTGGCACGATAATCGTCGCCATGTAAACGTAGTGATGGTGTACTTGATGTCAACCTGACGATTGAAAGCTGGTCTGTGGAGCATACAGTTGTGGTCGCCGATCCAGGGTCACGTGCGGGTGTCTCGCTCATAGACACCGCTGTTTACTTGACGTTGCGGGAAATTCGGTTCGGGCGTCTCGCTCATAGACACCGCTGTTTACTCGACGTTGCAGGAAATTCGGACATTTCAGAACTGTATTCTTTTCCAGTACCGTTGCGTACTGCCAGTGGCGAGTCGTTAGTGTCTCATGGTGCACTTGATGTCAACCTGACGATTGAAAGCTGGCCTGTGGAGCATACCGTTGCCGTCGCCGATCTAGGGTCACGGATGGACTATCTTAGCAAATTCGTCGCATCGTTTTGTTCTTGAGGGACAGGATGTTAAGGTACAGCACCAAACAGCTTCTCCCTGCTGTCATGGGACTATAGTTGGAGACGTGGTTATACCGGCCGCTCGGGACTGGTTGTTCTAGTTCAGCTACAACAGCCTTGGCCGTCCGGAGATCTAACATAGTAGCCGTTGTTGAGCCAGTGGAGATATGCAACATCAATTTGGTCGTTTCGATGACGTTGGTGGACTCAATCCGAGTGCTTAAGCGTGAGGGTAGACAACCTGCATATTTTAAAGACATTCGTGGACATATTTTGACTACTGCTTTTCGTGTTTCAAATATTTGTTATATACCCTTGTTTTGCCTGTTAAATGACTTCATGTGATATCGTTTCCATATTTGGTATTCTAGCAGTTTAGACGTTGCGACACGGTCGATCGGGTCTCTGGGGCAGCGTGGTCTGTTGGGGTATGCTGTGTGTGACAGAGTGCAGTCGTCTGAGTGTTTCGGTTGAATTGGTGGGTTTTGAATGTCTGTGTGAATGCCTCTGGTCTTCAGGGATGTTTGTCTGTGTTGTGTGACTGTCGGATGTTTTGTGCTGGACAGTGGGCTGACGTAGGGACCATGTTATTGTTTTTACCAGTACAGTGCCATTACAGTTCATTTACCGTAGTGTTGTATTTTCAGTTTTATCGTGGAATTAGCTCTCATCAGTATTGTTCAAATGTTGTGCACCTATAGAATTGTTCATAGTCTTTTTAAATGCCTGTCATAAGTTACTTTCGGCCTGTTTTGCAAATTGCAGTAGCTAGTTTATTGTACCAGATTCTAGGGGTCATTTAGTTTTTATTCAGAGTTCAGAGTCTTGGATTTCAGGGTTTGTCAGTGTTTTTGTTGTGTATGTTTCGTTGTTTTGGATCTTTTACTGTTCGAGTTGTTAATAAATGACATAAAATAGCATAAAGACTTGGACTATTGAGAGGGAAACTAGAGGACAGATCATATTAGAAGATATTCTGAACCTGGATAATTATTTCATACATTGCCGGTACGCTACACATGCTTGGCTCAACGGAAAATCTTTTATCCCCATCAATTTCATTTGTTGGATATTCTTGGTTAGTCCAATGATGTGACAACAAGCACCAGTAGTTCTGATAAATATGTAACAATTTTTCAATTACCGGTATATAATATTATTAGTCTTGTAATTTCATGCTGTATGTAATTGTAATCGAGCGTAATGCAGTAATGCCTCAATAAACCTATTGAAACTAGTCTTTCAATGATATATTTGCTCCCTCCTGACCTAGCTTATAAAGCTGTTTCTATGGTACAACATAAACTTAAGTGCCCTCACCCTGCCTTGCATGTACAAATTGCATCAGAGACTCGGTGACTATCCAGCGACACCACTATTTGAAGATGTGGTGGCAGAGACTCCTGAACTTATCTATAGCACTTGGCTTTGAACTCTAGCGTTGAACCGAGATTGACCACTGAACCATCATGTAAATGGGGGACAGCTGGTGGGAAGAAAAATTCCTGGAGAACCAAGTCATAGAGAAGTCCCCTCTGAGTAATTCCATTTTGTATGGTCAGATCACTCAGATGGTAGGTACCGGTACGGCCTTTGTAACTATGGTACGGTAACGGCAATATCAAGGAAAAATAAATTTAGGAATAGATCACTTGACAATATGTTAAAACTTCGAAAGCACAAAAATAGCGCCATTACTAGTGAAAACCCAGTTGCAGTTCATTAAAACAAGCAACGCATCACTCTGCCGCCCTAGACAAGCTTAAAAAGTTGCAATGTTTGTCTGAGCGACCAAAATCAAAACAATAATGGTCAAAGGTCGGGGAAGGGTCCATAAGACGCAGATTTTATTGGCCCGGTTTCAAAAGGGACATTCTCAGATGGTGCAAATTTTGCAAGTCTTGTGCTTCGACCAAGATGCTTTACGAAAGAAGACAGAGAGATTTGAAACAACTTGAATCTGGAGCTCCTATGGAAAGGATTGCCATTTGTTATGTCCTGACAAGGCAAGGAGACTACTGTTTAAAATAACGAAGTATATTACACAATATATACAAAAGAAACGGTAAACAGTATAAGATCAAATACCAAGCAGCCAGCAAGCTTAACAGAAAACACTAGAATGAGTAATAGACCGGGAAATCCCCTGACGTCACAATATGCTATATACAAGACTATGCGCATGAATATCTACCAACTCCCCTTTTTCGAGACTGCATTCTAATAATTGTAGATTTGCAATGCAGTCTTCATTAGTTTTCAATAAATCGTTGGGGTCGGCGTCTTTCTCTCGCGCTCCTCCGAGGCGTATCAGGAACGGGTAAGTCGGTCTGACCCATTTGTTGTTGTTCTGGTTCGTGTGTTTCACTCATGTTCAATTTAATGAAACGCCTGTTCCTCCACCATATTCGGCCACTCTGCAACTTCACAAGATAATCTCTATTTCTTCCGATTCCCACAATTGTTCCCACTCTAGTCCATTTTTTTGTTGTGGGCTCGTGGATTCGAACGCTGGAACCAATTTTCAGAGGAGGAAGTGGTTTGGAACGTTCGTCGTAATATCTTTTGCTATACAGTCGCGCCTTTGCGGCCTTCCGGTCACATTCTTCTGCAAGTGTCTGCCATTTCCTAGCAAAAGATTTTTGATGTGCTGGAACACAGGAGCGTAATGGGTGTCCAAACACGATTTGTGCTGGCGAGCGGTCGTCTATCCTTGGTGTGTTGCGCCATTCTAAAAGTCCTCGCTGAAACTCCTCATCATGAATATTTCCATTAGATGTCGTTTTAGCTACGAGTGACTTCATTGCTTTAACAGCTGCCTCGGCCACTCCATTAGATTGTGGATATGTGGGCGTTGACATCACGTGATTGACGCCCCATCTGTGAAGAAATTTTTTGAAGTCGCCTGAAGAAAATTGCGGACCACCATCTGTTCTCATCCGGACTGGTACACCCGTAGACGCAAAATGTTTCCTGATCGAGTGAATTACATGCCTGGAGGAAGGCTCAAAATCCCACGATGTTAAAATGGGCCATCCGGAGAGCCTATCTGTGTACACCAAATAGCTTTTCCCAGCATAAGAAAATAGATCAGCGGCAACCTCCTGAAATATACGTTCAGGCATAGGATCTGATATCATTGGCTCCTTCGGCAAACTTGGGGACATTTCTTGACACTTATCACACGATTGGACAACATTTTCTATATCAACACTCATTCCGGGCCAATAAATTATTTGTCTAGCACGTCTTTTCATACGCACAATGCCCTGATGCGCGTCATGAAGTCGATGTAGAGTTTCCTTTCTTGACCCTCGGGGAACTACAATTCTGGCATTGTATAATATCAAGCCGTCGTCCACACTCAAATCATTTCGTATTTTCCAAAAGGTTTGTGCAAAAAACG